CCAGCTACAGTATTGTTGCTATAGCATAGAAGGACACTTGAGTTAAGGTTGCATGACAAATATCATTCTGTTCTGCTGTATTTCAGATTCTTAACTTGGAAATTTTTCAATTGTGACATCACTTTTTTTTCTCTTTTTTTTTTCCCCCCCAAGGTAAGGTTCTAATTCTTAAAGGAATATTATAGAGCAACAGAAGGATAAAACCCTGTTCAAAGGAAGATAATTCCCTACTACAATGTTTAAGTACAAAACCCCCACCAACAAAAAATATGTTCTTTTGTGAGAGAATAAACTTTTCTCATAATATAGGGAAAGATCTGTGGGTTTTTGTTTTGTTTTTTAATAACTTTAAACAAAAAGGCAGCAAAGGATTGAAAGCTGAAATTTCACATCAAAATAACCCTCACAGAAAAGAAGTAACTTTGAGTGTTTCATCAAAAAATGAAAAAAAAGAAAAGATTTCCAAAAACACACTGTATGCATGTGTGGTGTAAATGCCTGAAGTAACTAGGAAAATAAAACTAACATTCACACTTTTAAGGAAAAGGTACAGCATTGAAGAGGCTTTCAGGGTAGGGCATAACTGCATTACCTGAGCGTTCCCTAGGCTCCCAACCTTAGATGCTATCGCGCTGGGGAAACTTGGTGTGCTAGCTCTAAGGAACACCACGGAGCGTAGAGTGGAGTGGAGACACCACGGCTAGGCTCTGTAATCAGGTGGGGCCTCGATTGTTCTTGTGCACAAAGCTGCACTTTTTGCCACCCTAAGCCAGAGACCTGTCATGTTTTGACAAATGCTGTACCCTAGTGTACTTTTTGCTCATTATAATATCATTATAACACCAAAACACACCTCCATCCCAAAAGCTACCCGCCTCCAAGGTGCGACCACCCCTCACTGAGCATGCGCCCTGAATTTCTCGGAGCCTATTACTTTAAACGGAGACGGGAAAACTTTACACCAATCATAACTAAGATATGCTTGACTAGAGCCACTCAAGCTCCACCTAAAAGATAGAAAATAATATAAATTGGCCCGAGAGAGAGGGGATGTTAGGGAAGATACCATCGTCAGGGGAGATACCATCCCGAGGACATACAACATCCTTAGGACCTCCTGACTCCTGGGATCAGTCGACGGGCTGAGCCTCTCTTCCCCCCCCCATTGGGACGCCTTTGGGTGAGATCTGAATATTTGCTTACAAATCTCTATAGAGTCTTTGATCCTTTTAACGCGTTTATTTCTAGGCTGCGCACCTGTAACACCTATAGCACCTGGAACACCTATAGCACCTGGAACACCTGGAACACCTAGAACCCCTAGAACCCGCACCTAGAACCCGCACCTAGAACCCGCACCTAGAACCCGCACCTAGAACACCTGTAACACCTGTAACACCTGTGTATTTCATGCATACTAGCTTGCTTTTGCAGATAGTCACTATCACCGGCAATCCAAAAGAACCTGATTATCTGTTGCTGTAATAAACCATACTTGATTGCATTGTGATAGCTCTCATTAATGCAACTAGGGTGAGGGTGGTTATCCGTGATAGTTCAGTGTTCTGAATCTAACCAGACCCCCAGACGGTTAATGCATTGTTGGTGAATGTCTGAACGGACCCCCAGGTGGTTAATACGTTTTTGCTGAATGTCTGAGCGGACCCCCAGGCGGTTATTACGTTTTTGGTGAATGTCCGAACGGACCCCCAGTTTTGGTGAATGTCCGACTGGTTCAGTACTCTGAATCCAACTGGGCCCGTAATGGTTAATCAGCTACACCCCTTTAACGCGACAGCATGCATGTCTGAACAGAATTTTTGTCTAAGCTTTTAAAGAGCACAGCTATGGAAGGCTGCTCCAAATGCAAGTGTGTCACTAACTAAACAGGGAGAAGGAAATCTGAAGCCACAAGAAGAATTGGGTGTACTTTTGGCAACTGTGCAAAGTTGCTCTTTCCTCAAGCAAAACCAGCTTCCATTAGTATATCACTATTTGCAACAGTTACAGAGTGAAGGCTGCTGAATGGTATTTAAAATACTTCTATGTTTTCATTTTCTCAGGGGGGTAGGTTTAAATAGCGATGGGGTTGGCTACTTTTATTTCTTAATCATATTCTTTCTATTCCTTTTGATACATATCACTTACACTCCTCCATCAGTACTTAACACGATGGTAACAACTAATGGTACACGATGGATACAGGTGGAGCATCTGCTACTGTACTGGAAAAGACTTCCGTCTAAGTATTTCAGAGTATGGTCTCACAGGGTTTGGATCTTTCTGGCAGTACTGCATGTCATAGCACGCACAATGTAAGGTGAAAACAGTACTGAAAACAGTACCTGAGTTCACTGTCACTAGAGCTGAGTTGCAACATGCAAGCACTCCCACAGGCATCATGCTTCCCACTTTCCTTGGATTAAATTCACTATCTTAAAACGTTTTTGAAGAAGCTTAAGTCTTCCTTCATATTTATAGAGCACATATCCTGCTGGTTTAAAAATCATAAGCATCTGCTTTGGTAAAGTTGGATGTAATAAGGGTATGATGGCAGGATTTGCATTCTTTCTTTATACAGAAATGCAGTCTTTCAAAGATAAATGGATAAAATTCAAGAAGGGACAGTTCTCTTTCTTGCTATAAAAGCAGATATGATTGAGAATAGGGGCTTGGATTCTTTTCACAGTCTAATACAAAAGCTCATTAGCATAGAGATCTTCAACTAGCCCAAAGATATGCAGAGTTTATACTGCCCTGCTTCATTACACCTGTGTTTTCAGAATCACAGAATGGATTTTGTTTGTTTTTAATCTTTTAATTTCATACAGCAAGAAGGTGGGAAGGGTTATTATCATGTTGCTAAGGGAAATGCATCACTCTATCATCAAAGGCCATTACAGACTGACGGTTTTTGGAAAAGCTTATGGCTTGTAAAACCAGTCATTCACATTACTACTGGAGCAATATTGCTCTTCTGGAGTGGGCCAGGAAGGAATAACAGAAACAGTTACATCTCAAAGCCAATGCCTTTAAATAGAAGTAAAAGTAATATAAAATGTATTTGACTTTCTCTTAGTCTGGCCTGCAATTCACTTGAATTCCATAGGAAAATGTAAAATGTATCCCATTTTGAAAATTGATTTAAAATTAAAGAATAAATAAAGCTTTCTGACATTTTTTTTTCCCTTTCTTGTTTCTTGTAACATTTTTTAATGTAAAAAATGGAAGGGGACTTTTAATATGTAGAAATGCCTTATTTTTTTTTAGAGCAACTATTCCACTTCAAAGAAGCCATTTACAACCCATTTTCAGCTATACAGGCATGATTTCCTCTAAAAGCAAATAAAGGCACTATGATGTATTTGTCAGAAACCTCCTGATGCGAACAGACCAATGCTGTCTTACTTCAGCTGAGAATTTAAACATGAGAGTTTACTATTTCAGTCTAGATTTTCTTACCTCTTACAGCTTTATATAAGTTGAACAGCCCCTTACTCTGTCTGTGAAGTATCTTACAGATTTCCCAGGCAGAGGGAACGCTCAGCACTTTTCAATGTATTTTTCATGTGATTTCTCAAGGGGGAAAAAAAAAAAGTATGCACTCTAGTATCTTGGCAACAAGAGACTCAATTTCAGCCAAATCTGACTGAGAGACAAGGATCTTGAAAATATTGAACACTTGAAGAAGAGGGAAAAATCTGTGGATAGTTGGCCACGAAGACCCCATGTGTATACCTACTGATTAAACCACTGAGCAAGCCATGTCCTTAACCTTTCAAGAAACAGGATTCAGCTGACTAGCTAGCTGGTTATGAATAGTAACTCTTCCAAAAAAAAAAAAAAAAAAAGGGAAAAACGGGGGGAGGGAGGAACTTGAAAAGAGATATAGGAAACTGAGTGGGCATAGCAAGTGGAAGTAGGACATTAAGGGGACAATGCAGGTGAGACAGGTCATAAGAAATGAGGACTTTTATTTTTTTTATTTTTATGGGCCTGGGCAGGCTGGGAGGAAGCTGGTATTTCCTGCACTGGAGATGTGTGCTGGAGAGGCACACATCCAAGATTACGAAAATTGATTAATTCAACTTCCTCAGTCGTAACTCAGTGTCATCACAAAGACATCATAGACAGCTCAAGCTACTAACTGCTCTTATCCAGTAGGGAGAAACTTACTGGAGATAAGGGAAATCTTGAAAGGGATGCTTTTTTAAATGTAGCTTTGACCACTGTATGCCACACATTTGAGACACTGGTGCTGAAAACCCAAGTCCCCTCTTCCTTGTCTCACTCAAAAACTGGCAATGAAACCACTTGGCTTGCAGCAGCAGCACTGCTCTGAACACATGGGTAGCCTCAGAAGATCTTGTACAGAGTCAGGCTCTGTCTAAGGCCATTCCATGTCCCTGGGCTGCTGGATACCAAAGAAGTGAAATGGAAAAATGACACAGGACACCTTTTCCTCATAGCTGAAACCTTACAAAGCTGTGGATATTACCCTCTCATTTATTATTAACACTAACTAAAATTACAAGCCTGTGGCTTACACTGGATTTACACTGAAACTGTACATTGAGGTATCTTTAACATCTCTTTTATCTTTGCAGTAATTGTTTCTTTAAAACATGTAGTTCAAATGCAATATAAAAGAGAAATGTGTTAAAAAAAATGAGATACACAGATATATAGAAATGCATATATCAGAATGAATCACTAGCAGATGAGATGTATAAAAATATAGTCTTCTTTTTCTTAAATAACAGTTAATAGCTGTAGCCACTTTTGTTACTGGAAGAATAATCCTCTCAAAACCAATAATACTTTCTTCTAGTTACTTATTAAAATCTGCATGGTATTGTGATACATAAGACCTGACATCTGCTGACATCAGAGTAATTTAAAGAAAAGGAAGCAGTAGTAATAGCACTTTATAGTGCATCAGATAGCATGGACAGCCAAAGTGCAAATACAGTGTTTATTATAAAATGAATTAACTGTACCTTGAAGAGTAATGGCTCCTCAGGAAGAGGGCTAACAGGGAGTGAGGTGGTGCTACTAGCCGGACTCATGTCTGTACTCTGAAAGAAAAGCATACATGAGTTTGCATTTGCAGTAGAATGTTGGAGACACCTTTTTGTATTTGGGGGAAAAAAGAGCTCAAAAACAGCACTGAAAATCCAACAGAACAAGATTGACAAATCTTGTCAATTCTCGTCTGTACTATATTTATCAATAATTACTAAAAAAAATTAAGTATTTCACAAATGAGTAAGTACTGAATATTTCATTTTGAATTAACACTCCATTCAAAGACTGAGCCACATGCACAAATATGCAAACATAACGCATCTACAAAAGAAAATATGAGATGATATATGACAACAGAAAATGCTTTCATACAAAACAAACAACAATATACAATATATTTTATTTATTTAATTCAATGGTCTGATACTAAAGGTAAAATTACCATGAAAATATATTGCAGGAAAGTATTTGAATCAATGTTTTTTGTTTTGTTTTGTTTTTTTAAAAAAAAAAGATCCCTTTCACATGAGTAAATATATCTTATAACTGAGCACTAATAGATGAAAAGGAACAGTGAACAGCAATGTTAATAACTAATATAAGTCATTATACCTCAACTGATGTATCAGGGCAAAGTGACTAAAAGACTGATGTAAAAACCCAGTCTTATTTGGGTGATATTTTGGTAACCTGTTGGCTAACATAGTCATCATTTTTTATAGATGAGACAGGTGTGAAAATAAGTAACTGTGGAAACTCTTTTGAATTTGGAATGGTAATAATGACAGAAGAACAAAATCTAATTTAAGAAAATGCACATATGATACAAGAGTTCTGGAGAACAGTAGCATATATAATACTTCTTGTGAAACAAATTCTTGATTGCTAAAATGAAAGGAAAAACATTAACTAATAAGAAACAAACAAACAAAAAAAAAAGACAAAGAAGACAAGATGCAATAGAGAATACAAAAAACAGATTTAAACGGGCAGCCAGAAAAATATATATTTTTTCACACTGTGGCTTTGCAAGGCACAATGATTTAATGAATTCAGCTTATGCAATTAGTTAATCAGTTATCTGGTTTCACATCACTATGAATCTATGATGGGACTCTTTTGATAAGCACAAATTCTGCAAATGAAGAACACACCTGTGAAGTTATAACTGCGTAGGAATCAGAAAAATTGTATGCAGAGATACTGTATTTTATTCAACCAACTGGTAAAGGATGAAAAATTAACAAAATTTTGGATACAAAATCCCTATGTTAGATCTGAAATAGAAAGCACAAACTTCAAAGTTTATGCCTATTGAGAAAATCATGTAGTTTAATTAGGTCTGTGTCAGTTATACTATGCCTAAAAGAAAAGACAACAGTTGTTGAATAAAAGGGATATAAGTAAAGAAGGAAAGAGAGTGACCTGGTGATTATTCATGAAAGAGAGAGAGAGACACTTTAAAATCTGTGCAACACGCAAGAGGTTTTTAGGGAATGAGGAAGATTATAACATATCAGAAAGCCATTATATTTGCTGAATCCATTGCTTTGGTTTCAGTAAAGTTACAAATATTAACACTTAGACTCCTGCCCTTGATCATCAAGGAAAATGACTGACAATATTTACTAAACAGAAAGGAAGCATGGCTCTTTTAGATTAAATTCAAAGTGCAGTCAAAACTAGAGACCTCCTCCTTGAGAATGTTCTGTCTTAAAGACGGACAGTTCAGTTAAGGACAGCTTGTCTTTTAATTTACGCAGAATTTGGGGAAAAAAAAAAAAAAGTAACTGTTTTCCAAACTAAATCAAGCACACTAATTTCCAATTAGAAGTGAGCAGGAAGACAGTCCAATCTTTTAAACAAACATTGAAACAGTCTCAGTATGAAAATCTGCAAAACAGATTGGTCCCCATACTCTACACGAGCTGCAAATTCTTCACCGATAGCTGGAATCTAAACAAGGTCAAAAAACACCAAGGATGCCAAGGTGGCTTTGACAAGAATTCTCAGGACACATCCACATGGTGGCCTCAGGGGAACGTCAGTTCCTCCTGCTGACTGGGCACGAGCCAGCCCAGGTCTGGACACCATGTTGATATGGCACCATGCCTGCACTAACAGGGCTGCCACGAGGCAGGTTACATTAGCATGGGCATAGTGACTTACATAGCTCCTGAACTGCAGCTGCTTTGAGTTTGGCCAGTTTGGAGCACTGTCAGAAGAGCCTGTGTGTGACTGCAGCTGTCCACATTTACGTACCCTCGGTGACCCCTACAGCAACTTCAGTTATTTTCCTCTCTAAGGAATGCAGAACAGCCTCTCTGTCAGTGCAAATTAATTAAATCCAGCGGCATTAACACAGTTTGTTATAGCAGAGAATTGAGTGAGACAGCATCAAAATTGTTGTTGTTTCTTGAGCTATTAAAACGAAACAAAACAAAACAACACACTTCCAAAATAATCACTGCTTTGAGAGGTGTTGTCAGCTTGTCCTCCTGAAGAGAAACATTAACCATTTCAAAACATGTAACACCTCCCACCTAAATTTGCTGACCATGGGGTATTTCTCTTAATCACACTTTGCAGTCTAAAGCTTCTCATAACCAAAAAAAATACAACTGTGAGGAATTCATCCAATGAAGACCTTTAATATGACATTTCCTAAGCCCATTCTGTTCTCATAAAAGCAGGTTGTCTGTCTTAATTTTGATATATTTCATGTATAAATCAAGAAGAAAATGCTACGCCATTTGGATATAGTAATGTCTTCTAAGTCAGAGTAGATATGAAACATCATTTGTATCATAATTATATGTATTAGGCAAAATCAGGGAAATTAGGACATTTTCTAATTTTGCAGTACTTTGCTCTCCAACCGTAACATTTTTAATGTATACTTTCAATGTACTGTGTAACCACACAGGTTTTGCAGACTGATCCTTTTCCCTTTACTGCTGGATACTCATGAGTATCCTGGATGGCACGGAATTTTGCAAATCTTTAAATACCTAAACTCCATTTTTAAACAGATAGATATCTGAATATCAAGCAATTCAACTATTTCTCAAAACAACAGCTAAGAAAAAAGTGTCTTGCCTGTGTCAAAAACAGTCTCATGATCTTTCAGTGTTTTTACACAATTTTTAATTTGGAGCAGGGTGTTAAAATCCAGCAAATGGATAACAACTTTACTAACTGTTCCACATTTTCAGTGATCAATGCCCATGCTTTCTTGAGCTGTAAATATATATCATCCTCATTGTGCAAGTGAACAGGCAGCCCAGAGTCACTGCTAGGCTGTGTTAATCATTTATCTCCAGAGATAAATATTCGAAAAAGTGATTAACTCTCAGGAAATTTCTTGAGAATGAAGCAAACAAAGGAAGAAAATAAGTCTATGAGAACAAACATTTCCCACGTGTGTGTCTTGCTTGGTGACTGAGGGTTGGGATCCTCTTGAGGACAGAATCACACCAGTTTAGCTAGATGAAAGAAGCTCTTTATGGATCTGCTTTGAAGTAGTTGCAAGCTTGGCATTGTTTTGCTTTCTTCTACTTGTGTTTACCCGTCTCAAAGTACAGCGTTTCATAATAATGTATACTGGTTCTCTAAGAGAATGCAGACAATGTTTTTCAAGCAATACAGTAGATCAAGAATATACAAATGCACATTATTAAGACCATGCTCTTTTAAAATCAATAGTCATCCATAAGTCTTCAGTAATTGTTCTTTAAATGAAAATAGATTCACCTCATCACATAAACTGGGACTTTTCTCACTATAGAACCTTGTATTTAATCTGATCTTCTCTAGCAAGAGGCCTGTGTATCAACCTTAGTTAATTGTACCATAAAATATGGACCGTGTGCTATATATCACTCACAGACAGAAGCCAATTTAATTTGCTACAAGTGTTTTTCTACAAGGGTAAACACCACAAGGATAGTTGGCAGGCATTGACTTCTCTGGAGATCACTATCGTAATTTATTGATCCAAGAAGTTAATACTGACAGAGAAAACCTTCAGTGGATATTACAGCTAGAGACTAAATAAATCTTTATAATAACATACAAAAATAAAAGACAATATGTGTACTTTATAGTTTTTGCTAAGGAGTAGTGGATGAGTGTTGATCTTACTTTTGGGATGATAGTTTTAGTTGTAATATGAATTATGCCACAAAGTATAATTTTATAATCTAGAAGTTGAGTACAAGTAGGAAATTAAATAAGTGCAGCAAGCAAGCTCAGTAGTGACATTTTGATATACTGAAGATAATCAAAGGGCTGTAAATAGATTTATTACTAGATCTGCACAATATATCTGTATGAAATATTATGCTTAAATATTATTATCCTGTTATACCAAGGAGAGTGAAAAAAGAAGGGGAAGTGATTTTCTCAAAGGCAGAAATGAAAGTCAAGCATTCACAAGTCCAAGTACTCTGGTTCTTCACTCAGAGTGTGCAGGGTTTCCCTATGTGCTTTTGGACTGGTGTGACTTCTGTAGTTTCTATATTATTTAACACCACGAAGAGGTGGGTTTTGTTTATTTGTTTGATACACACATTTCCTGCAAATAAAATTGCTTCAAACCATCAAAACCAGCAAAATTAAAACTGGTTTTGGTAAGAAAAAATATCAGACGCATGAAATGACCTTTCAACTTTTATCTCCCACCATCTTAGATTAATTTTCCCTCACATTTCTTATCTCATTCACTGACAAAGAATGGAAATGCCTACTTAAAATGCGTTAGATCTACTTCCTAACACATTTGAATAAAATCCAGGTAGCTTATTTATAATTGTATTTCACATGGTTTTTTTTGTTAATAGGTATAGTTAATTGTTCTTACTGATTACTAATACTTGCAGTTATCAACTGAGACATTTGATTATTGTTTTCATGTTTGTTATTGTTTTAATTTATCTGGCACGTTCTCTACTGTTTGCTGCTCCCATAGCTTTGAAGGTTGCAAGTGTCTTGTGTCTCTGTCCCATGTTCTCTTAGCTCCCATCCCTGGGGAGAATCATAAACTACAGCT